CCTCAGCAGTGTACTTAGTTGATCTGCCTGTCCTGTTCCCCACTCTGTCTCTGGTGAAGCCTCTCACCACCCCTGAGATACTAGCCTGTCCCCCAGTTCTATATGAATAAATAAATAAAATCTTTAAAATAAATAAATAAATAAATGGTAAGAAATGTCAGTGTAGCTTTTGAAAGTGCTGACCTCAACATTTAATTTATAAGTTCCAGAAGCTGTAAATCAGGATCTGCTGGAGCAGATATAGAGATTTAATTCAGAGTATCAGGTTTTTCTCCTTAGGTTTGGTTGTTAAGAGCGAAACCAGGTCCTGCCTTTTACTTGCTGAGTGGCTTGGGAAAGATCCTTCACACTCCACCACACATACTTCCGTTTGTAAAATAGGAATAACTAACAATAGTACTAGGACCCTAAGAGCCTTTTTTGAAAGAATTTTTAGTAGTGCCTGCCACATGAAATAAGCACCCAGTAATCATTAGCCATTATTCAGGTTAATCACATCTAATTCATTAACAAGATGTTTCTTACCCTGCTAGATATTAATAACCCAGAATTACATGATTCTTGAGCTACGAAAATGTGGGTATTTATTTCACAATGAAGACTTTAAAACTCTTACTTATCCCTAAGATAAACATTTATTTGAGTTATAAACTTACTTATACCATATACAAAATAATGGGGTATCACTGAAATACCTTGCATTTGATAGCTTTTTTGAAACCAAATTTTTTCTTAAATTGCTCATGTAATTGAGCGTCTGTCAGTGGAAGTCTTTTCAGCCTCATAGTGTTGACTATTTCATTTATGACACCCCACCACTGTGTTTTATATAGTTGCTGATAGAAAGTTTCAAGTTCAAAACAGATCACATAGTAGCTATAAAAAAGACAGAAAGAAGGTAAGTTTTTCTGAAGTAGGTTGCTAATTTTTCCCATAAGCTACCAATATTATATTTGTCCACAATAATTTAATAGTTTAATTTTACTTGATTGTGAATCTTTTAATACTACAGTCACCAACTACTATTACTCAAGTCTTTCTCTAACACATATCTTCTCCATATTAATCATTCTAACTGACTCTGCCCTTCCCATGCCTGTGACCAGGAATATTGTCTAAATTATCTCTCCAGCCCTAACTCTGGCTGAAGGATTTCAAAGTTTACCTTCAAACCATCTGTTTACCCTCCTTTTACTAATTTATTTATTAGTTCATTTAATCTAATTATGTCTTCAGCATTTTAGACTTGTTTTTATTTTCTCAACTACACACATGCCATCGAGGAAAACAAAACTCTATGCTGTGAATAATTTGAAGTTTCTTACCTTTTTCCATTTAATTCCATGACCGGTATTGAGTAATACTCCTTGTATCCTGAGTCTTCTACAAATGTATTTGCAGCACAATCCCGTATTTTTTCTAAATTGTTCTAAAATGAGTTGTTACAAAAAACAAAAACCTTTAAGTGAATCTAAAATATTATAGGACTTTTTAGATAAAATTTTATGTATGTAAAAGATACATTTTAAATATAATAATCTTACAAGGCCCTGATAATAATTGCATGTATTTGGGCACAAGGGTAAAAATCAAAAGACATATAAAGAAAATAGAAGAGACAAAAAAAAAACATTTAAAGGCATAGTGTTTATGCTAACTTTCAGAAGGATTACTGTTCTCAAACTAGAAAACCACTAGTCTAGTATTAATCTTTGAGGAAAACAGAAGAATCTGTAGTGTTCAGGAATTTCTATTGCACTACTTGGCTAACTATTCTAGAGCAATTATGGTTCATTAGAAGTCTGTAAATTGTTCAGTTGTCCTAATTTATCACTCTACACCTGACAGTTAACACAGTATCTTAGCTACAGGAGCACTTAATTCAATATTACATAATAAATGAAAATTAGCAAGTTATAAACATCATCATTTGGGGAGTTGCTTAGTGCCTATAACAACATAGGCTTTTTTTTTTTTTTTTTGCTTTAAGAATAGGATAAAAGTGTTGTGAAATAAGTAACTATTTCAGAAACAATACTGATTTAAACCTTAAAGTCTTCCAAAGCATTCTCAATTGAAGGAGTGCTGATATCAAATTCAATTCCTCCATGCACATGAAAATACTGATCCTCTTTGTAGTGAAAATTCTGGCATTTAAAATCTTGTCCATAAATAAATGGAGGCAATTCTCTCTCTGTCTTGACCTTGTCATCTCCAAAGATGAAAACAAATTTTTATTTAAAAAATGAAAACAACAAATGGCCATTTGTTGTCTATTCTCTTATTTGTTCTATTTATTATAACACCAATAGATTATTAATAATTTTTATATTTTGATCTTTTTCCAGTAATATTGGATTATTCATGATCTTTTTGTGTTCCAAACGAATTTCAGAATCAACTAATAATCTTTCATAAAAAACACAATAGAGGTTTTCAGTTTAAGTGTGCTGAATACTTATTTGGATGAGATATATTCATATGCCATCACAAACATGGCATATTTTCCTGTCTTTCAATAGCCCTTACAAGTAGCCTAAATATATAACAAATAATATGCATATATATCAAGTATTTTTAATTTCTTTGAAACCATTCAATTTTGCTTTTATTTCCCTAATAGGTTTACTAGTTTACACGCAAAAAACAAACTGAACTTAAGCATAAATTTAATGTACAGTTATATTTTAGGTTTGATTTTTTAGTTGTACTCTTACCTGAAAAGGGCTGAAGCAGACTATTTAAATATGGAACTTTCATCTTCCTTTTTAAACTCAGCAGAAATGGAGTCAGAAAACATATTAACTTTAAGTATCCTAGCCCTCTTCTGATTTCTTTTTTCTTTTCAAAGTGTTTTTGAATAATCTTTTTTTGAAGATACAACCTTTGCTGTATTCTCTGGTAGGTACAAATATCAAGATAATCCTGATTAAATTTTATAGCATTAGTAAGCCAATAGGCTGCTTCAAATATAAAAACATTTTCATACTGTTGAACTTGTGTGGTACTGAATGTCAACTTTAGCATAATATTTTCAATGTATTTCATAAATATAGCTTTTTCATCAGAGCTATTGGGATTATATGTTGGATCTTCATTCAAATCTTCATCATAGATTCCATCAAAGTCTGGGTCCTTTGTAATATCAATCAAACCTTTACAGTAAAAGAGAAAAACTTTAGATAGTGAAAATTTCATACTTCGTTCTGGATAAATAAAGCAAATTTAGTAGAGGCCTTCATCTTGAAATTTTACTACCATGACAATAAATGAATTATGATATGCCAGTAAAATTGTTAAAGAATGAAAAGTAGATGAGTTATAACTCAGCAGAATAAAGATGGCAACTTGTAGAATTAAAAATGTCATCCTCAGAGGAATATAATATATAGAAACATCATCACTCTAGTCTTTAATAAAAAAAATTAAGAATCAAAAAGAAAGTATTATCTTTTAAGCACAAATCTGGTTTTTACTTGAGCTAAAAGCGTAATTGCTTTTCAGGTCCAAATTTACATTTTTTCTTTCTTTTTGCTGATAACAGAATCTAACCATATATATGTGTGTGTGTGTGTGTGTGTGTGTGTGTGCACGCGCGCGCTAACTAAGCACAATGTAAATATAACAAAAACTTATTTTATTCTACTATAAATGACAAGTTTCCTGTTACTGTCACTGTTAAAAATCTTTAATAATGAAATTAAAGACTTTGTCACAATTTTCAAAGCAGCTATCTCCACGTTATTCTTAATATTTAAGAAAACTGTTTAGAATCATAAAATGACTTTGTAATGTGTCTTAAGATGTAACTTATACATCAATGTCTGTTCTTTTCTCAAATCTTTGAATTTCTCACCTCCCCTGGGATAACCTTGAAAGCTTCAGGATCCAGCAAAAAGTACAAATGACAAGCAGATGTCTCTGAGATCCTGCACTGTTTACATATTTTGAGTAGCATTACCAAAACTGAAGTAAGAAATGAAAGACAAGTTTTTGTGTGCTCCCTCATTCCACCTGCAACTGATTAGACTGCCCATGTCTGGTGTTTCCCTCCATCATCACTGTGAGGGCATCATCATAAAAGGTGGCATCATATATAACAGATAGTTGCATACAACAGACTGGATGTGTACTCATGAAGGCACGTGATAAAGTTGACCTTGTCATCAACTAAGCCAGCATCCTCTATCCTGAGTTACGAAGACAGGTGCTCCCTCCAGGCTTGGTCACATAGCTCCTTATCACTAGATGATCCAAAGGCCCTTGTAACTTTAACATGTGGACCACTCCTCATTGTGTACCTCTCCTCATTATGTACCTATAACCCTGGTTATTCGCCAGAATTTGATTCTTTAGTGAAGTTCCACCTAGATAGCTGAACCTAAAACGGCCTCTTTCTCTCACTCCAATCTGTCAGCTTTGCCCTTTACCTTGCTTGACACCTGCCTCAATGGAAAGATTCACCAGTCCCATCTCTTCTCCAGTAAGTCCTATATAATCTTTGTAAAAAGGAAAGAAAAGCAAACTTAATTTTTGTCAAGGCTCTTATGTTGTTGGAAACCATTCTCCACTCTGCTGATCCTTAACATCTATGGAGGCTAGAACTTCACAAAACTTCTTGCATCATCTAAATCAGGAAGGGCAAACTATGTAATTGGTATTTCCCAGACATCTTGGCCAAGTCAAATATATAAAGACATGATCTGACTTGTGGAGTTTGACTTCCATCCTCCAGTGAAGAGCAAATGGATTACTGGACAACTTCGAGGATGGAAGTGTCACTGACCATGGAAATGCTACTCTTGGAGTCTGCTTTCAAGAGACAATCCCCATTATCCCTTGGCCATGGGCCACATGTAATGAGTGAAATGGGAAATAGTATCTTAGGCACTGTTTCCAAATGTCTTCATTGATTAAATATTTCTAATCACAGATTCAGTTTGTGGGCACATGTTTAAAAATAAGTCTCTATTCTAATAAAAACATATTGGAATGTCACTTGACTGCAGGAAAGAATGTGCTAATAAACTTTATAGGGTCTGAAGCTAAAAAATGTAAATAAGTCTATCCAGGAATAAATGTGACCGATATTGTTCCTTTGGTGACTATTTGAGACAGATCCTTTTGATTTGTGGATTGCCTGTAAATGTACACTAGCTGCACATTATGGGGTTGATACGCCAAACGATGATACTGTGGATCTTTAATCAGTTTTATACACGGCCTGTTGTGCAAACTTCAAGAGCAGTGAGTATAAGGCAGTATGTTTAACTGAAAAAATTAGTTAAGCTGTAGTGTTGATGGGATTAGCATTAAGTCCTTATAATGATAGATGTACCATAGGAATGGAGGGTCACGGGCTCCAAGAGAGCAGCTTCAACTGGAACCTACTAAATTGTCTTATTCAGGTCTATGGTATGACGGGGGTAAGGAAATGCAAATAGTCAGTAATAGTGAATTCCATTAATTTCTGCATTCTTTCGATAGTCTGGTAGTTCCCTCTTAAAAGGTTACTGATGCCTTGGCAACCTGTAGATGCATGGTTTGATACATTAGACTGAGCCTCAGATATACTACTTTTAAAATAAAAAAAGTACCACAGTATCATCGTTTTAATTTTAGAAAGTGTTAAATCCTCTTACCTGCTGAACTAAACTCTGTAAAAATATCTTTATTTGTCTGAGGCTTCCCATCTGGATCAATGTCCATAATGGTACGCCACAATTCAGAGAATCTGGTTCGCTTTTCTTTAGGCATATAAATTCCATGCCAGAGTGCTTTCAGCATGTAATCAACACTGATCAGAATTTGGCCAATCCTGGTATCATAATAAGCTGGAGGTAACTGACAAGAAGAACTCTGATCATAATTAGCTTCTAAGCTGATTGAAGGAATTTGATTTAAGCAATAAATTCCAACAGACAATTCTCTTATGATCTGATGAACTTCTCTGTAATCTAAGAGGGCAGAAGAGTCCACAGGAGTTAGCAGGATTGCACTGGAGAAGCCTACATTATTTATTTGACTCATAATTCCACATGGGTTGTCTAATTGCGAGCGGACATCTTCTTTGGAAGACAACCAGCTAACTAGTGTAGTAGTTAGCAACTCTTGTACTTCACTTCGATCAAATTTTTCAAAAAAAGCAGAAGCATTTCTCTGTACTGATAAATTTTCCAGGTAAGTTTCTTCATCTTGAATTTGGTCAGGTCTAGGCAATCCTTTTTTTGATAATCTTAACATTTTTAATTAAGTCTAGTGTGTCCTTTTTGATGTTTCTGCAATGAATAAAAAAGGAAGACAAGCAATAACATTGTCATGGTAATAAATTGAATTTCTTGAGAAATAAATCTGTACCTTTCATCTTCTAAAATTAATTGTTTAATGGTCAACATTTCTTCAACTGTTAACTGCAGCATAAGTAATTTGAAATATTTATTAAAAATTTAAAAAATGTTAACATTACATTCTGCTTTTCAAAAGAAGTTAAAAGGCATTAAGAAGTAAGTAAAAAAAAAAAGAAATGTAATTTTATATATGAGAAAATATGGTTGCATCCCTATTGGAGATGTATTATGTTTAGCGTTCACGGTCTCCATCCTAGGGCTTTTCAGGGTAGGCTTCAACCAACTATGGTTTGAAATGCTATGCAGTAGGCCTACTTTGGTTGCTGTAACAGAACACACACAGAATTTTCTTGTTTTCTCTAAACGTATGTTATATATAAATAGCTCTTTGCATAGTATTTACATTGTAATAGCTATTGTAAGCAATCTAGAAATGATTAAAAGTTTATGGGAAGATGTGAGAAGATTGCAAATAGTATGTCATTTTTATGTAAGGGACTTGAGTGTCTACGGAGTTGATATCTGTATGGGCCTGGAACTAATCCCCTAAGATACTCAGAGATGACAGTATTTTGTTTTCAAAACCTTAAGTTTTTAAAAAGTTTTACTTATTTATGTGTAGAAGAACTGGGATTTAGGCCAGAGGTATGAGGGTAACAGGATTCACCAGAGACAAAGTGGGGAGAACAGGCAGATCTACTGAAATATGCTTCTAAGGGGAGCAGTGAGACATGAGGCTGCTGAGCCATATGTAGGTTAGTTCTCTGGCCTGGGGTTAAACTCAGGCCATAGAGGTGATAGCACTGAGATGTAACCCCTAAGCTACCAGGGAGACCCCGTTTTTAAACTTCTAAAGCAAGAAAATAAGGACATACTTAAAAGACCCTGCTTAGCTTTCTATTTCTATTTAAACAAAAATCTCCAAATAATAACCATAACTACCATATGAAAAGTTAACATCACAGGTGCCATTTTAAAACAGGGCTTGGAGCAAGCTTCAAAGGGCCAGACTGGGCTAAACTCTTGGACCGACATTCAGGAACCATTAAGAATGAGAATGTCCAGTTAAAAGGACTGATGAAAGTGAACTTTTGCCACTTTCAACTTGGACCCCTCCAGCTGCTTATTAGCTCCTCTGCCATTACCTCATCTATTTTTCTATGAAAACCCCTCTAAGTGCCCTCCTTCCACCTGGGTCCCTCGAGACAAGTTTTAGGTTTCTACCTGTGTACTTCGAACTGAAACACTATTCCCATCTAAATGCACTATAGTTTGCCTGCTAATCTAAGGTTGAACACCATTTTCTGCACATCTATTTGTCTAATTCTTCATATACAGTATTTCATTTAATTGGCTCCTCTGTTATACACTGACTCAAAATTCATCCCACATCAAAATTATCTGGGGCTTGTTAAAACACATATTGGGCGCTACCCCAGAGTGTTTGATTTGGTAGGTTGGAGTGAGGCTGGGGAATTTGTATTTTTGAAAAGCTGAAGGTGGTGATAATACTAGAGAACCACACATTGAGAACCCAGCAAAGCAATAGAGGCATTGGTATCTCCACTTTATGATGCACTAATGGAGAACAGAAAGGTTGCAGGACATGTCTGCGGTATCCTACATTCAGAATCAGAAACAGCCTGGGCCTGCCTACATTCAAGATACAGTCCTATGCCAGACACAGGAGATAGAAGTCAAGGAAAAGGAAGAGACCTACTTTGATTGTCTTACCCCAATTTTATTGATTTGCCAATTATTCACACAATTATATGGGATTACAACTTCATGTCTTCATAGGTACACTCAAGAAATCTACTTTAAAATATATATATTTTTTAAATATTGAGGCAATATTGGTTTACACCAATGTTTCATGTTGGAAGTATAGGAAACACCCCCCGCCCCCCACACAAACACACACACTAACATAGCACAGCCACTACCAAAGCACCTGTGGTCCATAAAGAAAATCGTTGCAGAAGCAGATACAAAAACAGAAAACTGAAACTTACCTCACATACACCCAAGACAGAAAGAAACATATATACTGTTTTCTTGTCCTGGCCAGGAAAGTTGTATCCACACTGGTCCCTGGAGTATTTTGTGGGCTGGAAATGGGTTTGGTCTCAGTGAGTTTTCCCTGGACCTGAGTTAAGAACCCTGCTGGAGAGAGGATGATAGGGGAGATGCTGCCAGGAGCTCAGAATTTCTGGGGTGAGGGCCAGGGGAAGCCTGCTGGCCCTTTGGTGGCATCAGGACCATCCTGCGAGCCGTTGGCCTATCCTGAGAGCCCACCTCACCTACCTCCAGTGGGTCACCAGACCCCTCCGCTGCATAACAGTTGGAAACAATTGCAGATCTAGAGTCTAATGTGAGTCACCCTGGGACGAGCCAGTGAGCCAGTGGATTGTCTTGGGGGAGGATACACATCTACCCACGGTGCAGGGCACGGCTCAGATTCTTCCCAAACTGATTGTCCCCCAATCCCACCTCTAGAACTCATTCCAGTTTCATGGTTTCTTATTTGTCTTACCACTATTTGTCTCTGCTAAGACACAAAATAGTGGCAGAGAAAGCTCTAGGTTCTGAGGTAGTCTTGTTGGAATCTCACCTCCATCATCATTCTTTCCTTCTATTAACCTTTATGGAACACTATGAGCCAGGCGCTGTGCTAGATGTTGGAGCCCCTGGAAAACAGAGCAGACAGACACGTGATGACAGGAATTTAGCCACACAGCTAACCACAGAAACATTTAAGCATGATAAATATGACAATACATAAAGAAAAGTTAACAATGACCCTGCCCTGACAAAGGCTATGCAGTTCATGATTTGATGACTTTGATCTGTGTAAAAGCCCATGAGCTGAGATTGGGGCACAGACATGGAGACTGGTGATTTGTGGGGTAGAATGTTTAAAATAGCCTTCAAAAGTTCACAGAATGGGAAAAGTGCCTAAAGAGATGTAATGCAAGTACCAAGTATTACACAGGCATTTGAGCCTCAAGCAAACCTATTAGCTTCCCTAATGTCTCCTGTTAAACAAGGCCTTGTCTAAACTGAGCCACTGACAACTGTAATAACAAGATGAGTTATTTCTGGATGTAGCTACCATGAAACGTTAGTAAACGCTACCTTCTTTTATGTTGCTGGTGGGATATTACAATTTAAGAGTTCCCAAAATATGAAAATATCAAAATCAAAATATCCAAATGGTTCCTTCAAATATAATCTTTTCCCTGTCAATCTAAATTAGCATATCAAGCTACATATAATCTGTATTTTACTATATAAAAGAACTTCAAAACCACATTATATAGTAGTAAGTAGTAAGTGTTTTATTTTTACAGAATTGTCATTAATAGATGTTGTTACAGTGCCAAATCATTATATTTTAATCTCTTTTTCAACGGAAAGGTTTTCTAAGGAAATGGCTTGGAGTCTTCCACATTTATCAGATGCCTTTTCATTATTATTTTCCATTTTTGCAATTCTAGATCCAAACTGCATGGCCCGTTTTGGTAGAAAAGTAGAGGCTGTTAAACCAAGTTCCACTGCAGCGAGGCGCAAAATTAGTTTTTCACCAATTCCACGAGGCAAAGTCAAATTTGTCTTTTCCCAAACTGGCAGAGAATTTAGGAAGGAGACAACATTTTCATCCAGAAAAGGAAATCTAAAATAAATAAATATAATCACTATAAACAAATGAAATCAATTTGTTATAATTATTGCTTTTGCATTTAATTCTAATTAAAATTGATAATATAAAATTAATTTGCGAGGATAGTTTCTGAATTAAAAACTTGCTATTTATACAATTTTACAGCTAAAATTTAACCACATTTAAAATGTACCTTATGATGTAACTAATTTTGATATATATGCTACAAAATATAAAAATCTTGCCTAATAAGTAAATCAGAGCAATGGTGTCAAGAAAATATCAAACTCTTTCATATCATACATTTGAGCTGCCTTGAAAAAAAGCATGGTCTTAATTATTCAATCTGTGTCTGTTCTTTATTATGTTGAGAAATTAAATTTTCAGAATACAAAATCACTATAGAAGAGTCCCACAATCCAGAACTTGTGAAACACCTATGATGGCAAAATTGTTTGCTTACATTATACCATTTCAGTAAATTGATGTTTTAGTTAACCTGATATTAAAAAAATACACACACATGAAAGGTTTCAGGTAACCAAAATATATGATGAAATTGTTTGAAAAAAAGGGGAGTGCAGTACTGGAACCCACCATTTAAAACAGTATGGATCGGCCCTCCCTGGTGGCGCAGCGGGTTAAAGCACTGCATTAAGAAGCTTAAGTCATTTCCACATGAGTTCGATTCCCGCCTGCCCCGGAGGAGATCCACATGGCGCGGCAGACCTCTCCTGACCCGCCCGCTGCTCCCCTCAGCAGTGTACTTTGTCGATCTGCCTGTTCTGCTCCCCACTCTGTCCCTGGTGAATCCTCTCACCCTCCGCATCTCTGGCCTGTACCCCAGTCCTGTATAAATAAATAAATCTTTAAAAAAAAAAAAACCAGTATGGATCTATACATATTAAAATATCTATAGAGACAAAACAAATTTCTATAACACTGGAGGAAAGTTTGGGGTTAAGAGCTATGCCTTTAATGTGAGGAAAGAGAACATTTAAAACAAAGCCTTTTACCTCCTCTTGGTATCTCACTACCTCAATTTACTTTTAGTGGTTTTCACTGCAGTACTAGTAACAATCAAGTCATTTTATGATCTTTGAAAATTATTGAAGAGACATTTCTTGGAGAAGTGTTCTGGAAAGTACTTGCACTTGTGAATTCTCCCCAGATTTGTTTCTGGCTGTGTTTCTAACTTAAAGTCAAGACTTAATTGCTGCCACTGTTATTCATTTGAACAGCCTCTGAGAAGAAAGAACCCATAGCT